TATGTTGCCCAGGCTGGTCTTGAACTGCTGGCCTCAAGTGATTCTCCCACCTTGGCCTCCCAAAATGCAGGGATTACAGGGGTGTGAGCCATCATGCCTAGCCTGGGCATGCCCAGCTCTGCCCAATTTTTGCTGTATTCTTTAAAAGTATCCACAAGAGTGGGGGGCCGGGAGGATGGCCCTTTACCACCGAGAGTTTGAGAAGCACTAACTAGAAGATTTTTTCTCAAATAGGAGTAGGGATGGGGAAGAAAAGGGAGATTTTATCCACCGGGAGACATTTAGCAATGTCTAAAAACATTTTTGGTTTTCCTTACTAGGATGAGTGCTACTGGCCTCTAATGGTTAAGAGGCCAGGGATGCTGCCAAACATCCTATGATGATAATAGTAACAGCGTGCCACCGCCACCACCACCACCACAAAGAATTATCTGGTCTAAAATGTCAATAATGCCAAGGTTGACAAACCCTGGAACAGGATTTAAAAACTATCAAAAGAAATCCTACAATCAACAAGATATACTTCACCTGACTGGATGAAAGCAAACTATTTGAAGAAATTATATCACTCTTTACCCCATTAGAGAAAAACACTTGAGAAAAGACTATAAGCAAACAACTGTAAGGTGCCACTTATCATTCCCATTTTTACACATACAGAAACTGATGCTTAGAGATTAACTTACCTGAAGTTACACGGTTGAATCTAATTCAACACAAATACACAAAAAAATAGTGTACAACTTAGCTTACTTTCCCTTCTGGCAACCTAAGGACACGCTTAACATTCAGCAATAAGTTCACTTGACATTTGTTCAGTCCTAGATATTCTGCAAAGTACTTCCGTATATTTTTTCCGCTTGTACACTTACAGCAATACCCTTGAAGAGTTAGAGGAAGGTGTTCTTATTCCTGCTTTACAGATGGTAAAACTATGTCTAAGAAAGCTTATTGCCCAAAATCCCACAGTTAATTTGCTCTAAATCTAACTGAATGCAAAGATGTTATTCCTATTGCAACATAGGTGAAATCCATTTTCATGTTTTCAATTACCTAGCATCTAGGGACTAATAATTCCTAAATCACACCTCTAACTCTGGTCTTTCCCTGAACCCCAAACCTATATACCGTATTCAACAACTTTCATCCCTCTTATAAGTCCTACGAACTCGTCCAAAAATAAACACATACTCTCATATCAAAACTTGTTCCTTCTGCTTTATTTTTTATTTTTTTCATTTTTTCACTAAGTAGGGAGTGTGGATTGTCCAGCCACACAGAAAATACATGTCATTACACAAACAGGTGTAAAACACCATCTGTGATAAATTCTCTATTCGAGTACTATCGGGTGCCAGGAGCCTATGATTATATTTGACATTAACAGAAAGATTGGGGAAGGCAACAGCAAGAAAAGAGTACAGTCGTTGCAGAGGCCTTGTCGTGGGAGGAAGCACGGTTCTCCCATTTATAATGACTGCCCAAGCTAAGGTTAGTCCGTTCGCCGCCTCTTCATTGCATATTCCTAAAAACCACCGTTGTTTTTAGGTGGAACGCAAACTTTCAAGATTATTACTACTCTTTTCCCTCTTACGGTGCATGTCCCGTGTAAATAGTTCAGAAGACCCTCCCGCAGGTCCGGGGTGGGCAGGCCCGGCCAAACACCTGTCCCGCCCCTCTGACCTTGGGCTGCCCCAGCCAGGCTGCGGGCCTGGGACTCGCCCCCACCCCTTGCAGTCCCCCTGTCCCCCGGCATCCCTGCTTTCCGCGCCTCCCCGGTTTGTCCTCAGGGAGGCTATTATCAGTCTTATTTATTGGGTCTGTGGCAAACTTCAAGGCCTAACAGCGCCGAGGTCCGCTGTGACCTCGGGCCAGGACATGAAGGTGCTCGAGAAATAGGGCTACCTCTCTTTCTAGTAGAGCAGAGGTGACAGGCAGCCCGGGCTTCATGAGGACACCCAGAACTGGAATCCCAAGAGGCCACGCTGAACTAGCTACCTTCCCAATCACCTTGCACTCAGTCCCGAGCTGCCAAAGCCACCGCCGCCGCCACCGTTCTACTTCCGGCCCTGGCTCCGCCCCTCCCACGCCTACCCGCCGTCGCTATGCATTATGGGCCACCGTTTCAGTCGGTCGGCGCTCACCGGACAGGAAGCGTCTCGGAGATAGTCTGCGACCGGACAGCTCTAGGTGAGACAGAAGCCAAAGAGGAGGAGGAAGTGGAGGGTAAGTGCTTCCGGGTCCCCTGGCGAAGCCTCCGCCATCTTTCCTCCGCCTAAGTTGACCCGCTCTTTTTTCCTCTTGGAAACCTTGTTCAGTACGCATGCGCACCCTGACTGGCCTTTTACCCCTAGTTCAAGCTCCCCTCCGAGTCAGGGTCCTGTTCCTTAGGGCTGTTGAGGTGTATGATTGTGCAGGGAAAGTGAGATTGTAAAAAAAAGCGGATTGGAGCGTTGTGCTTCTCTGTCTCGTGAGGACTCCGTTGCCGTGGGCGTTTGTTTCGCGCACCCTGCTGGGAGTTGTAGTCCTGGACCCGGGGGTGCCTGGGAGGCGGGAGGGGGGTTGGGGTTTCACTGCGCCGATTCCGCGGGAAGGGCCCGGGGGCCTCACACTTCGAGTCGTGGGAGCTGCAGGTCTTACCCGGAGAGACGCTGCACGTGGAGCCCGCGCCGCTGCCGTTCTCAGCCGGCTCTGGAGCGCGGGCGGGGGCAACAGGGCCGATTCCGGAGCGGGTGAGTGCGGCCGCGGGGAGCAGGGGAGCGCGGGCCAGCGCGGGCCGGCCTCGTTCCGGGGCCTTTTCCCCCACCGCGGCCCCCCCGCGGCCGCCTCTGTGTTTTGTTTCCGCTGGTCCCCGGCGCTGTGACTCCCATTTCCGTTCGTGGAGACTTGAGGGAGCCGGGTGGGGAGGGGCGGGAGAGGCTGCGGAGGGAGCGAAGGGGAGGGGAGGGGGCGAGCGGCGTTGAGCGCCAGGGGACCGCGCGCCCCCGGGTCCTGGGCCTTACTTGTCGCCTTTCGCCACTCCCTCCGGTCCCTGTCCCTTCCTCGCCTGTCTGAAGTCCGTGGCCGGTCTCAGTCTTCACAGTCGGGATATGATCCTGATGCCTCCGGGATTTCAGAGGAAGATGCAAAATCAGTCTCAACACCCAATTCAGTGGTCCACTCACTTAAAATCCATTTATCTTTCTAGAATTGTCTCACAGTTGCACCAAAACAATTTATTAACGTATATGGTATCCATCTTTTTTTTGTTTTGTTTTTAAGCGACGAAGTAAACCAAGAAGATAACAGTGGATTAATGTAGCTTGCCAACTTTTAAAGTTTTTTGTGTGCTAGGAAATAAGCCATGTGTGCGTCTTGGGATTTAGGGATCCCGATTTGATTAGGTTGATGGCAGAGAGGACAGTGCCTAATACTGCACTGCAAGATGACGAGTAGTAATTTAGAAATAAAATTCACTTGATGAGTGGCTTCCACTAATAATAGCAGTAGATCTGATTCGTGGGAGGAGCAAAGATTTAGAAGGCTTCACTTGAGGGAAGGGTAGAACGAGGCAGTATAACATTTTTAGGCACTGTGTAGTGTTTAACTTGAAGAGAAATTGGTCAACTCTTCAGCAGCTATTTTAAGGGAGTAGCCTCTCTCTCAAGGTTTGATGCGGGCTTTCCAAGCTTGTTTTTGGACATATCCTGGCATAGAATGGACTTAAGTCAATTTTACCTGGATTGTATATACAGGAACGTGTCATGAGGGGTATATGGTCACGAAATAACAAAATAAATAATGACCTAGATGTTAAATTGAAGCAAGTCATGAGACCAAGTACTAAATTAAAACTGTTAACTTTAGTCTTTCTTTAGATCTTTATTTGTAAAACTTCAAACCTACAGGAAATTGAAAAAAAAAATACTGTCAGCACGCATATACCCTTTACCTGAGGATCACCAACTATTAATCTTTCACCATATTTTTTCTCTCTTTATGTGTGTATATACACACACGCACAGAGAGGTTTATGAGCTTTACTTTTGACTTTATTTCCTAAGATACTTGAAAGCGTTTGTTAGCTTGGAAAAATGTGCAGTTGAACATGCAGGTACCCCCAGACTGCACTAATATTTATATCATATATTGGGAATAATTGTTCTAAGCTCTGTAAACTAATAATGCATTCCAGTGAAGAACAACAATCTTCAAATTTATTCATAGTTCCAGAAGAGAATGTTAAACATACCTATTTTAAAAGACACTAGCGTTTCCTAGAATTTTTAGTTAAATTCAAGTTTAGTTTGTGTCCATCCTGTCAAAGGTTCTGAACCCCAGGTTAGATTTAATCTGGGAAAACCAGAGTGTTAATGAAAGGATGTGAAGTTGTTCTATATAGTTATGACAGGAACAGCCCTTAAGTGGAGAGACTCCAAGCAATTGCCTCATCTCCATTTTCTTAAGTATTGACATAGAATCCTGTGGGATTGGTTCCAGAAAAAGAGCTAAGACCCTCTCAAGAACCGATATGAAAGACTTGGACTATTTGCCAAATCTCTCCATTGCTTCTCTAGGCTAAGTTTAGAGAACTGAGAGAGAGAGAGAGAGAGAGAGAGAGAAAGATCAATCAATTAAGAGCCTGAGTAACATGATTTTTCTCCAAAAGGTCACGGGCTCTATTTTTTTTTTTTTCTCTGTTTGGCTCTTTTTAGGGACTGGTTTATGACTTTGGAAGATCATAGGATAAATTCCTTTTTAACGACTTCGTATTTTAGTGCTCATATCAGGGGAGCCCTACGTGTCCATGCTGATAAGCTATTAGGGCCATTTCTCAGCCTCTGGCTATTATACTTCATATACTTTTTCTGTTTTGCCAAAGTTCCCAGAACATATATATGTTTTCTAATCTTTTTTAAAAAATTGGTTATGGAGATGGAAATGGACCTCCTTGTAAGTCCTGAAAATAAAAAATCTTTAAAGTGCTATTCTGTTGTAAACCTACGCTCCTCACTTTTTTCTATACTAAGCAGTTTTTATTATTTATTAATTTTGTGTGGACATTATTTCCTTGTTTCAAAGTGGTACTTAAAGTCCGTAGTGTGTGCTTTTTCCACATTTTATTTTATGGATACTTTCTCACCATGGGTACTGGGATTAGCTCCAGCTTCCAGCTATAGCCAAAAAAGCTGCCCCAAACATCCTACTGTCAAACAATTTGTGAATGTCTCTGGAATGCTTATCTAGGGGCAAAATAGCTGGGTCATAGATATAAGCTTGCTTGATTTGTAAGAGCTGCTAGATTTTTTTTTCCAGAATCTCTAGACCTGTCTTATGTCCTCAAGTCTCTACTTCTGTCATTTAACTTTCTAACATTTGCCATACATACACAAGTTCCTCGTTTTAAATTGCATTTTTGAATGATTTGAATTTGAGCATTTCTTCATATCCTGAGCCATTCTGCTTTCCCTTTATGTGACTTTCCTTTTCCTATGCTTTGCCTACTATTCTGACTTGTCCTGACTGGTTTTTTGGTCATCAACTTCAGGAGATTGTTGTCTAGTCCATTTATTAGTCCATTGTCGTTTTGGGGTATTGGAAATACTTTCCCATTCTGTAGCCTGTCTGTTGAACATAAATCTTAATTTTTGTGTAATTAAATCCCTCAGTTTTTCTCCTTATGTTTTCTGGTTTTGGAATATTATTTAAGAAATCCTTTTTTACCCTTAGACCACAAAGAAGTCCCTGCCATTTCCTTCTATCGGCTTTATAGTTTTACCTTTTATATTTAAGCCTTTGTGGCATCTATAGTTCATTTTATGTAGTGTGAAATAGTCCTTATAACATTCATTTATTCAACACATGTTAATGGAGTGCCTACTGAGGGTAGGCACTCTTGAAAGTACTTTGTATGTATTTGTGAACAAATATCCCTGCTCTTGTGTAGTTTGTGTTATCCTACAAGATAGGTCCCTATTGGGCCACCGTTTGTTTTGCACTTTTAATTAGCACTCAGGTTGAATTCCACAATTTTACACATAGCACCTGTTAAGGAATAAACTTTATTTGGGGAAAGGGAAGACTTCTTTCTTAGGCCAGCATCTGCAAGAAAAGAAAACAAAGGTTCTTCATCCTTCCTCATCGCAAAAAGAAACCTGCTGGAGCCTAGGCAATCTGCTAGACTTGCATGGTCTATTCAAGTGGATAACGTTACCCTCTTACTGTTTGTCCTTATAGGACAAGTAGGAGAGCAACCTTAATAATGTTGGAAAAGTCAGATCACTTTTGTACCAGGCAGTCTAGATGTGGGTGCCAGCTATTTACAGACCAAGTTTTCAGAAAACCACCTGCGCAGTGGTTAGAGATGTTGAGACCTGAGGAGAGTTACAGCATTTTCTGAAGTGGAAAGGGGGACTATTAGTTTCCTAGTGCTACTGCAAATTTAGTGGCTTAAAAACACCAGCTTATTACCTTGCATTTATGGCAGTCAGAACTCTGAAATGAGTCTCTCTGGTCTAAAATTAGATGTTGGCAGGGCAGCATTTCTTCTAGAGCCTCTAAGGGAGAATCTGTTCTTTGTCTAGCTTTTAGAAGCTGCCTGTGTTCCTTAGCTTATGGCGGCTTTCCTCCATCTTCAGAGCCAGTCAAGTCACAGCAGACCAGTCGCGTCCTCACGTTGCATCACTGGCTCTCTCGTCCAGTCCCCTCTTCCACTTTTAAGGACGTTTGTGCTGTCGTTTGACCTACCTGGTAATCCAGGATAATCTCTATATTTTGAGGTCAGTTGATTAGTAACCTTAATTCCATTTGCAACTTTAATTCCCCTTTGCCATGCAACTTATTTACAGGTTCTAGGTCATTATTCTGCCTACCACAGAGACCTCCATTCCTTGAGAAGTTGAGGTCTCTCCCTCTTTAAGAAGGTAGGGGAAGTCCCTAGTCCAGACAAGCCAATTTAAGTTCCTTTGGTCACTTTTGGACAATTTTGCACTTTGATAAAGATTTGAAAGGGGAAGAAAGGCAATAAATATCATAAATTAATGATACAGCATGCTAAAAGGGCAAGTGCTATGAAAAGAACAAGGGGTAAAGAAGAGATATTACAGAATTCAGTGGGGGTGTTCAGAGTAAATCTCATTGAGAAGATGAAATTTGAGGAGGGACTCCAAAGAGGTAGGGGATTTAGCCAAGAGGGCATTTTGGGGAAGTAGGATCCAGGCAGACTAAACAGTTGAGAGCAAAGACTATAGGGCAGGAAGATGCAAGGACAAGCAAAGAGGCTAATGTGGGAAAGAAAGTGATAATGAGGTGGGGATGGGGGTAGATCAGGTAAGGCCTTTTTGGCCTTCGTAAAGTCTTTGGCTTTTACTGTGACTGGCATATCAAAGAAGTGATCTAGCTTCAGTTTTAAAGAGGCTGTTGTATTGACTGAGAATATGTAGAGGGGCAAGGGCAGGCACAGGGAATCCTGCTAGGAAGCTGTTGCAGTACTCCAGTAAGAGAAGTTGGTGGCTCTTGTACTAGTGTATGCAATACAGAGCCTGTCTTTGAAGAAACCATGGTTTGGTCCCACCTGGAATAATGTATACTTAGGTTGATACACCTAACGTGTGACATTATGGAGCCACAGGTGGTTTAGCATCACTAACCTCTGGATAGTGTTCATATGAGGGTGGGCTTAAAATAGGATTTCTCTATGTAAAGCATTTGATTGCAGTGCCTGATAATAAATAATAGCTATTAATAGGAATGAATATATGAATTCTTCATCTTGTCAAATCTTGTAAGTGTGAACACAGACTCCTTTGCAAATGTTGGAATACCAAA